TTTTGTAAAAATTCTCATGTATGATATATTTAATACATTTCAGGGAGGTGCCTACGTACCTATATACATATTTTATTTCATTTTTAAATAAAACATGTTTACAAATATTATGTTATTGTATTAATAACCACATATTTACATATTGATAAAAATACTTGTATATAATCAGTTGATTTATAGTTTAAAGTCGAGTAGAGATCGTGATACAATTGAAAATTACTCATATTTTGAAATAGTTTTTTTTTCATTTCATAAGTATTTTTGGTTTCGGAAGTCGTAATATATTAGACGTTTATTAAGTTTAAAAACTTAATTACTGTATATATATTTTAATAATCTCATTAACTATGCCGAATTATTGTTTTTCAGAACCAATCGAATTTACAAATTTATTGAATGCCCTATAGGATTCTAATTTCTAATACATTTTAATATACCTATACTACTAATAAAACACAAAATTAAAATTCCTAAATAAAGTAGATGCGTATTTACTGCCAAATTTAAAATGTTAAATTTCCTTCTTTAAGAAATAGTGATGAAATCATAAATTATTTTAGTCCTGTTTTTAAATTATTTTTTTTCAAATATGATTACTCTAAATCAATACGACAAATATTTAGAGTTAATGTAGTCAATCTCTAAAAACTTTATAACTTTTATTATAAAAACTTATCTACATTAATCTATAGCAATCCTCATCAACAAGTGATTTTCCAAAGAAGAGGGCTCATGAAATTAAGTGATATAATGTCTAGTGGAACACGGAGGACTCTAAAGTTAATTTCAGAACGAAGAGAAGAGTAGTTGATCAAATCTTAAAGCTTAGACGAAAAAGATTTATTGAAGACCTATTGTTTATTATTTCTATTTCAATAAACTTACATACACATCATCTAAAATCAACAAACCGACAACAACTAGTGAAGAGTATTGTGTAAATTATTATTACAACTTCAACTTCGCAGCACTGCAATTGTTTGTTAACACAATATTAACACAAAACTGATGTGGCATTGTGGCTATATTGTGTAAGTTAGTCTTTTATTACAATTTACAACCCTTTCAAAAATGCAATGTATTACAAATAAATACTCGAATTTATTATCTGAAATTTGAAATTTATGATTTATCAAAGAGAATAACAAAATAATATATATTTTTTTATTTTTTTTTTTGACACAATCCAAGAAATATTCAATTGTTTTTTTATAAGTTAACGAAGGCAGTAGTTTATTTAAAATTTAGTGACTAGGTCTGGTGGTAATTTCGGTTTAACAAAAACAATATACACTGAAAAATTACATAATTATATCGATGTATACTAAAAATATCGTAAGTTAAATGATCAAAAATATTATGAAAACTGAAACAATAAAAATAAATTATTTTCTATTTAATGCCCATGTTAATATCTAAACTACCGAAAATATAAAATCATCAAATAAGAATTGTAAATATCGAAATACCAGTTTTCATATAATATTATTTAATACCGATAGAATATCCTTTGAAGGTTTGACATTTTTTTATTTTTTTTTATTTTTTTTGGCTTCTGATAAACCTGTGGTTTTCCCAGACTTCTTTTATTTCTATTTTTAGTATCATATAAATCAATTCATTGATAGTAAATTTTATTATTATTATTTTATTTTTCACTTCTTAAATGTATTTACCAGCGAGTGCCCCTGTTTTCCTTCCCATTTTTTTAAAAACTATACTTAAGTTGATTTGTTTTATGAATATTTTTCAATAAAGCCCAATTTACATTCTAAGTTTGCATGAATTTCAGTCTAAACGTTCCCGTTTAAACTTCCTTATCATTCAGTTAATTTTTGTTTGTTTTTTAAAATGTTTTAGTCGTTTTAGACCACAGCGCAATATTCTTTAAGAGGACGCGATTCTTGCACGTGTTATCTCTGTCGTACATACAACATAGCAAATTTTCGTTCAGCAGAATTCATTTTATGTTGTTAACTTTAACATTCGAGTAAAATTACCAATTATCAATCTTAAAGGTAAGAATACTATCTAAATCACCTCATAAGTTTTTATTGATATTTTTATTTTTTTAACTGAGTTATAGCTATATGTAAAATACGCTCATAACTAACTTTGAAATTATTTGATGATCGACAACTTTTGCAATGTCAATTAACGTGATAAAAAGTTGTTTCTAACATTCTGTGTGACCCTTTTCTTGTCGTTTTTAGAAATGAGGACTCCTATTCAACTTAATTTAAATTAATATTAATTTTTATCTAAGTTCAAATCTAAACTGTAATTTTAATAATATACATATCAAAAAAATACATAAATAAAGAATACTTGTTCAATACTTATTAGATATATATCTACCAACCATCACACCTCAGCTTTAAAACAATAATTTATTATCTAGTCATAGGTATCTCATACAACAACTCTATCATGCCATTACTTATTTTCAAATAATGTAAATTTAGTTCAAAGTAAAGTGAATAAAAAATATTCACGCGTTTTTTTTTATGAAACTTACAATCAACTCACCAATGCCTTGTCTCTGTCGCTCACTCGCTTATAAAAGTATTAAATGTATTTAAACTGAACTTGTGATAAAGAAACAATACTGATTCAAAGGTACAATACAACAACAAAAACACTGCAAAAAACCAATATAATATACACACACATTGCATGTTTAAGAAAAAAATGTTAATTTAATTATCTGCTCGTTTATTTCGATATGATGTAATTTTGGGTATTATTGATGTGTGATGAAAAATGCTTTCTAGGTAAATGATTTGTATTTTTGCGGCGAAACAGCTTTTTTGATTTCATCCATATGCCTTTTTATAGGAAGTATCACTACTGGGTGGCTTTTTTTTAGCAAATATTTTAACATCACTGTAAATTAGCACATGTTCTTATTGTGCCCTCCGGATACAGATTGAATATATTTTTTTTTTTAAATTAAAAAAAAAAAAATTTTATGCCTTGATATCAACATGTTATACATATTATACACCGTTTATATTATCATTCAACACACAAAATCTCTTAATATCTATTTACAAATCAACAGCATTTCACAATAATTAATGTTACTACGTGCATATTATATAATAATATATTTTTTTTCAAATATCACGTTAAACGTCAATATCACAATAAGCTAATTTTGTCAAAGAATAGATATCATCTAATAATTATACATATCACAGATTCAATAATTTGATTAAAATACCCCGGTCTAAAGGAACAACAAGTTATATATACATACATTATATTATATTTTCACAATATAGAACTTGCAAAGAATGAGAAGGTATCCATAAATAACCATACGGTATATAGTATATACTATAATATACACTACACCATAGGCGTGCGCACGGGTAGGGCTGATTGAGCTTTAGCCCCATCTGAGCCTTTTTTTATAAGAGGGTGGGTACTTGGTACCTAAAAAAGTAATGAGACATTAAAGCCGTGGAAAATTGATAACAAAATAAATCAAAATCATAAATATTTGCACGATTAGAGATAATATACTGGTTGCTCATAGATATAATTTTTTTCTTGTACGACCTTGATGGTGGGGAGGGTGGGTGGTCAGATTGAATTTAGCCATACCTGACTCAGAAGTCTGCGCCCGTCTATGTACTACACTATACGTTAATAAAATCGATGTAAATTGTACATATATCGCTTTGGAATTCGAAATAAAAATGTATGTTAATCGATCAAAAAGAATAATATTTTTTACAAAAACAGGTAACAATATTAATTATAAAACTTAATACAGAAAAACCACTGAAAAAAAGATTTGAGATGTATGTTCGAAAATGTATACTTCTTTTTACACTTCGCTTGAATAGCTTAAATTCCAGTAAAGTAATCCCTTGCGGTGACAAAAATCTAATTATAGTTTAAAAATTACTCTAAATTGTTCCTGTAATATTGCTATATTCAAACTCAAAACCTTTGAAAATATAAAACGAAATATTGCACATAGATTCTCGGACGGCAATATACATACAACAGACTTACGGACTTGTAGCAAAACAAGCACCGTCGTGCGTTGAAAAAAAGTACATAAAATCTCATTACTATGATATAAATTATATAATCTATATGACTATCACTAAGTTATATGACATCCAAACATTCATCAACGCCCAGCCTAAAACGCTAAACCAAGAGACTCAATTTTGAATAACGATTCTTCTAACGCTATTTTTATGAATATAAGCATTAAGAAGGTATTTTGAGAAAATAGTGTTTTAAAGATGAGGACTCACTCAGGAATTTTTTATTTCATCAAACTGAAACAGAATATTATTTTGTTTGCACGTATACGACATACGTACATGCAGTTACCATCGACTAAATTAAAGAAAGTAAAATAATTACCTGTTACAGCTAAGTATTTGATATAATTTTATGAAATCCACGGGGTAAATCCTTCGATATTGTTTAATTTGTCTGCACAGGCCGTGCAGGATCAGCTATAATTAATAAATATAATATTACATCAACGTAGAGAAAAATCAAAGGCATTGATCGGATAACCCTCGTGCAAACCCACTGTTGTTGACCGATTTTCGCATAAAATCAAACTTCGTTTATTATTCGCTATTTTTCCTATATAATTCGACCTGCAAACAACGAGTGCAGCTACACGAGTTGTCGATTCGCGGAGAACCATGACTTCTTTTTTTTTTTTTTTTTGTTTAATCGCTATCGCCCGACGGTCCCGAAAATAAAACATTCATTGCGCGATCGGACGGGTATAATTTTTGACCCGCGTTTCGTAGTGTTCAGTGAGAACAACCGCGAGATAACCTCGGCGTTAAAAAATCCGCGCGGTCTGTGCTTGTATAGGTATATATATTTAACGGGGTTCGCGGAGAAGCGGTGGGTCCGCGGGCGACTCTGCGCGCAGTACTGCAGGACCTGCATCGGCCTGCAGTTACACAGTCGTGTCGTATAGGCCACGATCTCCGAAGTCCGATCACCAGCTGCAGCCCTACATCACCGTATGGCGGAGGCCGTTTATTGTCGGCGGTCCGTCGTGGAGGTACCCGCGCGACAACGCCGACTGCAGATGAATCCACGATTTGCCGGGCTATATCCACGAGTTGTGCGGGTATAGGTACGCGGCATTCGGCCCGGGTAAAAGACTAATATGGGTACGCCGACCGTCCTCCGCTCGCAGTAAACTTTAGGTAGGTACCCGTCCGTGTCATGATACCGGCTAGGTGTATAATATCTGGCCGGCGGTTCTGCGCGCTGACATTTTTCGGTTGTCGTCCTCGCTGCGGACCGCCATCGCGCGCTATGTACAACGATTATTATTACATTGTACCCACGTTATGATATTATTATGCGTATATATGCTGCGTATAGGTCACCGTGTGTGTATACACGCTCGACGACTACATCATCTCGACGTGTTTATCCCACTCGCCGCGACCGTCATCCGTTTCGAAACCCGAGGCCGACCCACCCCGGCTTGGCCCGGTGAACGCCTATTTATAAGTCGGTTAAGCCTCGAAAGTCCGCGCGTACGTACACCACGCTACTATTGCGCGGCCGAACGCCACGCGACGCGCGCCGGTTTCTCAGCGCGACGTTATTATACTGCAGTCGGACGCGCGGCGACGGTCGCATTACCGCGTAGTGTACATAGCCGTCACACATAAGCTGCGGTATCGCACGGACGTGACGTTTTCACGCTGTCGAGCGGGTAAAACACTCGTCGCTCGTCCCTCGGCACCCGTCGCGCGCCGTTTTTCGATATATTATAATACACGTCATAAACACCGCGGCCCAGCGACCGTCCGAAATCGCACTTCCGAAAAACGACATCGATACGAGACGATGTTTTAATAATCGGAGCTGTTGAAAATGCACTTTAATTAATTAATTAAAAAAAAAAAAAATACAATAATTAATTTTTATATTTGTTTTATGAGTGTGTTTACGAATACATATATTTAAATTACGGCGCCTCGATTCGCGCTTGTCTGTCGTCGTCGTCGTTTGGCAGATCGATCGATTTAAGAACGAATTTGGTCGTTGTCCCCGTCGTGAGAGATGAACAGAAACGTTCGAAAGGATTCGGACTCCAAAGGGTTGGTGAAAAACGAAACGCCGGACGAAGAGATCAAAGTACGTACCTACATATTATATTATATTGTATAACGTATATTGTATGAACGCGACAAAATAACTTTTCAATTATTGTTTTTACACGCGCGCGTTTATCTTTGATAAATTTGCAGGTACGAGTGGGTACAGATGGGTATTATTGAATAATATGTATTGTATGCCATTTTGCGAATATATAAATAAATATAGTTATTGCGCGCTTCACTGCAGTTTGACACTGTCGTATTATACATGTATAAAAACTGGCAACTGCACTGTATGAAATCATGCATTTCGATGTTGCACTATTGCATGGCGCAATAAACAAATTGCACCAAAATATTTTTACGAGATGTTCATATACCCTTGTGTTAATATTGTGTAGGCATAAAAAACATTTAATAACATGACCAGAGAGTACAACACAGACTGCCATCATCTATAATGGTATAGTTTGGTACTATAGTTAAGTAACTCGTGTACACAATATAATATATAGTGTGCAACGGTATGATTTAGTAGTTATACCGATGTCGCGTATCGTTTTCTTTCCTATAAGTACCTAGGTACATATATAACGAGTGTATGTCAACTTTAGACATTTACGACTTTCGTGTCATTACGCGCGAATTGTACATAATATTTACTGCGACATAAACTATTAATTAAAATATAATAAAAATAAGCGCACAACATTGTTTGTTTGATTTGAATTGCATTAATATATTGTGTCTACTGTAATTCTTCAATCTGCGATACATACAATATTAAATTATTATCATTATATTGAAATCATAAACCTTCTATTTACTATTTAATATATACATAGTGATATGATTATTTAAACTTTTTGTATCTATACTACTATATACTCGCCTTGACCTTAATTCATCGATACAGCTTTTTTCCTAACATATGACCCCATACAGCAGCATATGTTTTTAATGCAACACGTGGACAGTATAGTCTAGTGTGAAACACTAACTACAAACAAATTATAAATAGAGCTTTGAAGTTGCACACTATAATAGTATTACATTGCCTAACCGAACGTCTTAAAATTACTGTAAATCCAATGAGAAGTAAATCCTAAAAATAGACAAATCTGTGTTCAATATACTAATGCCAATTTATACACTTCGCGGCGTAGGTACAAAATATATAAAATTTTATAGTACAAAATCGTTTAAAACTTCGCATAATTTTTAGTACTGCGTATTAGTATAATATCTATTGAAAAATATGCTAATATTAATTTAATATTTAGATTGATTAGTTTAGGTAATAACCTACTCTTTATTTTGTTCATTTGTATACTATATATAGTGTAAGGCCGGTAACGTTAGATTTATTTCCATATTTTTAATTACACCAATTATTCTTATTTTAAACAATAACGAAACATTTTTACAAAACTTTTAAACAGAGGGTTGACGACTAAAATGTCTAATTTAACACATTTTGGTAAACGCTATGTATAAAATTTAAATCAACTTTTCACAGGACTTTTTAGTAATGGCCTATGAGTTATAGCTTACAATTATGATGAAAACTAATTGTTTGGCCTATTATAATATTGTAATATGACATTAACTAAATATTAAGAAATATAATATGTACTGCAAAATATAAAAATTAGTTCTTTTAGATTTAGATAAATGCAGTTCTTGAAAAATACTTACATTTCTGTAAATATTTTTTTTTTTACATAGGTAATTTGCACTTAGGATTACTCAATACAACATTTTAGGAAATCCTTATACTTAAAAAAATGTATGCTTTTATCATTTTTATAAGTTTTATTTTTTTTTTGAAAACAACATACATGTTTAATTTTATATTTCAACACAAAATAATTTTTTAGAATTTCATTATCAAATTTTGAGTTATATTCTATTCACTATTCTATGGCCTAAACAATCGTATTAAATAAAACCTAACTACTCTAAAAATATGAAACGAATTGTTAATATAAATTAACTTTAATAGCAATATTAATACATGATAAAATATCCTTAGAAATATAGGTTCTGAAAACTCTTTGCTTGTAACCTAACCGTATTACAATGATTTGTCATTATTTATTCATACACAATGATCTTTCATTAAATATAAATGTAATCCATGACAGTGACTTACGCAATGACGCAGTTACACATTCTAGGTCTATTATAAAGGATACAGCAAAGCAAGTTTATAAAAAAATTTAAATGCTAAACATAATAATTATTAATTATTAACAGACAACAGTGAATAATTCACTAAAAATATTTTAAACTGAATCTAGTACAAAATATGATACGACTGTCATTCGTCAGCTGTCACTATAGAGTATAGAATTCTATGCGGTCTGGGATAAATAAAAAAAAAATAATCTATTTATAGGTCTAACAATACCGGTATCAAAACGTCGACGTAATTTTGAATTATAACTTAACAAAAAATACTAATAACCAACAACTTGTAATTTAATAAAATAGATTTATGATTTTATCTATTGCTATTAATGCTATTATAGATGATAAAACATAAATATTCAAATAAGTAAAAATATATCATTATATTGGAGGATTGAGATGATCCAGGGATTGCTTTACTCTCCCGAGCACTATACTCTATTTGCGTCCATGACACTACGTTGAACGTATACTCGGTAAAACAATAATTTTATTGTTCGACATCCGAATTTCTAAGAATACGTGTTTTCATTCATTGATCAAATTTTGTTGCGCATAGTGTGAAAACATTTAATAATTATTTTAACTGAAATTCGTTCGGCGTTCTATGTATAAAATATGAATAAAAAAAATTTTCGATCTCAGAAGTCACCCCTAGGATTCCCTATGCATATCCAATGAAATCGATTACTCGCTCAATTGTTATCAAAATAAATAATCTAGATTATTACACAATATTCCACAAATCGGTCTCGCGTACATAATATAAGTCTGCGGTTTTCCCCGATTGAAACGTTTCGTGACAAAATTTACTTTACACATAAAATTTTCAGGAAGATCCTGCTGCAGTATAATAGTCAACTGTCGAGATATACCTACACTATAATACGCGCATACGAGTATCCGTAGACAGTTCGACATATTAATATCAATATAATTGCCTCCGACTACGCCGCACTACTGTTCGGATTTTCCCGCGTTTTCCCCGCTCGTCGCATCACCGCCTCGCGGATACGGCGTGATATAAAATTGATCGAGGGACTACGGTGTGACAGCGTCCCGAGCAATAGATCGTGTGCATATACAGCATAAATTTATATGTATGTATATAAATATATATATAAACTCTCGTGTGTGTTTACCTATGTACATATATGCGTGTGTGTGTGTGTGTGTGAGAGAGATATAATATGCATATCGGATTTCTCTCTTTGGCGCGCTCGATACACGGCGCGATGGCGGTACGGAACGCGGTGGAGGCGAGATGGCTCAGAGGCGTGCAAACTGACACTGCTATCGAGTTACCGACACGACCGTCCGTCCGTTCGCCACACTTTTCGTCTGCTGTACACGCGTAGCTGCTGCACGGTCGCGGGCTATCCCGCCGCTATCCCTGTCTTGACGACGCCGGCGACAATGACGAGTCGAGGTGTGAGTACCTCACTACCTATCGTTGCGCAGATAATAATAATAATATGATGATGATGATGATGATGATGATGATGATGATGATGATGGCCGGGCATTAAATTGCTCGGGTGATCGGGGGGTGGCGCAAGATTTACGGAAATGGCGGCGACGGCGCGGAATTAGTGCCAATGGTTAATTTGCCCCCGTGTACCTATAGGAGCTATAGGTTATATGTGTTTATAGTGTATTGCAAGGTGAGAGGGGAGCATAGTAAGAATTATAAAATATATAAAAATAAATTATAATTCCGAATCATGAGAAGTAGATTAATTTAAACGTATAGTTTTATTTTGCACGAAATTGCAAGTTTTGCACTTTTTATTCTAAATTGCACGATTTTGATTTTCATTGCATGAAATTGCATATTCTGCATTTTTAAAATTAAACTAGATAATATTTCAGTTTTCAACTATACAAAAGGAAAAAGTGAACTCAAACTAATAATATATTCTTAGAATAACATCAATTTATTAGTGTTTCGTGATAAAAATAAATGATAGCAAATACTAGTTAGGTAGATAATAATTTGGAATGTATAACATTGTAAATTTTAACTCAATAAAAAAATTAATTTTTTTATGTATGTATAATAGTTAGAATTAAAATTAAATAGCTTAACTCTGTTGTTATGTTTTTTTTACACAATGTATATATTCTTATCAATATTTTAATTATTTTTTAAAGTTTTTATTTTTTAATTATTAATTGCTAATCCTGTAATAGAGTAAAAAACTGGATAAATAAAGTATAATTTAAGGGTTTAAATCAATGTACTTTGAATGTTTACAAAATGTTGGTAAGTATTAAGCGATTTTAAGCCAAAAATACATTTTTGCACAATTTAGGCACTTAACTGCATGTTTTTACAATTTTTAAGTTATTAACTGCACATTTTTTTGATTTTTACTGCATGAAAATCCGGTCTCTAGTAATAATGTACACGCGCAGACGTCATAAAACGATATCACGACAACGTGACCATAATATATTATATCCCGCCGAAACACGCTGGGCCGGCCGTAACGCACAAACATTAGTAACCGATGAGTTCGAAATCCAAATTGTAGATGTGTTTGCAGGACACCGTTGTGGCATAACTTTTCTGTGGAGTAAAACCTGTGAGAAAAAAAAATAAATTGTGTATAAAAATTTTCGAGCTAGGTATATTAAAGTATAATGTATATTATACTAATATATATATAATATGTTTGAAATATGTCATGAAAAAAGTGTTTGAAAAAATAACTATAAGTGGAACTCGACCCATTCAATATCAAAGGCCTACATCTATCTTTAGTGAAAGTTTATTGTTATAATATAACGTATATAGATACAATTATTTCAAAATTACAAACTATAATAATTATTTAATAA